AGAATTTTAATTTGCTGCTGAAAAAAAGACTTAACACAAATACAAATGTAAAAAATTAAAACAAAATCAATCAATATTCTACAGCGTCTGTGATTTCTTTTTCCTCCCTTTACAAACATCGTTGAGAAACTATGATATAATATAATCATATGATAAAATTAAATATGAGCCAAAAGTAAAGATAAATAACAAAATATGGTAACCCAATTACATGCAACCGTTCAGGCAATTAAGCAACCCTATCAGCAACTCCGAACGGAGGAATTGCGCTTAGAGTTTCACTTACACTTGCAGTTACACTTACGGTTGCACTTATTTTTCTCTCGTGTGATAGAGGCATGAGATGAATAGATCTCTGTATAGTAACAGTTAGAACAAGAGTCAATATTTTCCAAATGACTCTGATTTGAAGGTCTTAGCCCTAAGTTATTACTCTTTCATCTAAAGTTTCTAATTTAATTTTAAAAAAATAAATAAATAAACAGAAATGTTATAAAAAAACTGATAAAAAGAACATATAACTAATTGTTGATAAGAATTAAAACTTAAACATAGTTTTGAATATGAGTATTTACCCTAGCTGATTCATCTGGACTTATATCAATAAAAACATATTTGTGTTTCAAATATCCTTGTAGTTCAGGATCTCTCGATAAGACTTCCTTAATTGGTTTTCGAACAGACATGACTGGAGGCATTTGAAGTTTTTGGGCAGCTTTAGCAGCAGCCATATCTTGAAGCTAGAATACATTTATGAATAAATCATTATTTTATGAATAAAAAGGGAAATGATATATTTTAAGCATAAGTAAAAAAATAATAACGTAATGCTAAAATAATAGAGATGTTCGATACTACAAGGGAAATTCATTTCCAAAAGATTTGTTAGGATCATATTACCTTTTAAATTATGAATTTCTAACATTTCAGGTACGTCATAATACATACTTTTTAATGATGTAAGTTTAATTACAATTATCATAATATCACAACATCCACAATCTCAAAAAATCCCATTTTACAGTTTAACAGATATAAAGTTTACTTACATAGTGAAATCAAAGTCAAAATAATACAGAAAAGACAATTAGTGTCTTTATTAATGAGTAATTGAGTTGCTTACACTTATTTTGTACAGTTTCCCAATTAACAGAAAATGGATTACCACCTGCTTTGTAGTTTTTCTGCAGTGTGGTATGTGCTTAGGAATATTTTCTGCAGTCTTGCATTTGGGCACACACAAATAACAGCAACTCATAGGAGGTTTGGTAATACAATATTTTAAACATGTGATTCTACTCTGTAATAATTTGTCTGTGTGCAATTTAGCTGCATAATAATTTGACCATCTGAAACTCTAACCTGCGATATTTTATCTGTATTTATGCTTCGTCGGCTAAAGATTTTCTCAAAAAATTTGACATAAAATAATCCTATCAATGGGTTTTTTAACTTGCACAAATTTCAAAGAAATGTGTAGTGGCCTACATAGTGCTACAATCTATACCTTTCAAGTTGGCCTCCTTCTGTGATTTTTTTTTTTTTCAAAAGTTTCTTATGTACCACTACCTTTGTGATGTTGTGTGATTCTATGAAAATGGAAAAGTTCAGACAACAAAAAATTTAGCAAAAAAAAAGGAGAGGCTATTACAATCTGACATAAATTTAGAATTTCAAAATTAAAAAATGTATTTTTTCTCAGTTTTAAAAAGTACAGATAGAAAGTCTACCTATGGCAACACTTCACATACTTTCATCATTAGGAGATTAGTCATAAAAGAAGGAAGTACATAGGTTTCATCTTGTATTTCAAATAGATTAAAAAAATTTAAGATAGAAAACAATATTGAACTCAAAACTGGAATAAACATAGTTCTTAAAGAAAGCATCATGGAAATTTTAGAAAATATTTTTGAGAATTAAATGCGAAAACTATTATGGTATTGCAGTTCATTTACGTCGCACTAGAGCTGAACTATGGGCTATTGACGACATTCTGGGAAACACCCTGAGGATGATCCGAAGACATGCCATCACAATTTTGATCCTCTGCAGAGGGGATGGCTACATTTGAGCAGAGAGAGAGGGTCATGATATGGAATTGGTCTGTAAACTTCCCAGGGAGCGTATAGAATGTTGCGATAGCAAATAAAACACCATTAGAGACTAATCATCCTGTCTCATTCTCATGTAATCCTCGATGCTGGGTTCTTTGCATACCAATAGTTGCCAAAATTTGGCAAATTTTTTGAAGTGGGTTCTGATACAAAAATCTGAGCACTAGCTACCATTAAAAAATTTCATGAGACAGAAAATAAAAAAAGGTCCTGTGAAAGAAAATGTACATTATTAAATAAGTCATGGAAATCACACAATAAATATAACACAATAGATAAAAATTTGATGACTATGTTTGATAGAAAATGAAATTATCATCACGTTTTAATATGGAATCCAACACAGGAATGTTTCCCACACCAAATAGCCCTTTGTGAAGATCTAAAGCGACGTAAATAAAGTTCTACTACTAGAAATATTTAATATCAGCACATAATATATTCAAAGAGCACCCATTTACGGACTCATAAAAATATAAAAAATATAAAAATTATTTTGATTTTTCTAAAAATAGAAACCTCTTTAAGTCGTTTTTCTGTAACAAATTCATATTTGTGAGGCTCCAACTCTCCAGATGTCTGGCTAACAGCAAATATTTTGTCGTAATCTATGCCTGTGATTTTTTTTAAAATTCTTTGCACATTTGAATTCAAAAATAGTTCTTCTATATTTTCGATCTTTTCAACCGAAGTATCTGAAACATACAAAAAGAAAGCATGTGGATTACACAAAGATGTAAATAAATAATAATTAAACGGTATACAAAATTTATTTTGGATGCGATTAAATATTCTGCTTGCTTATTTTATTATTTAAAAGAAGCAAAAAAATAAATTCCTTACTTTTCGTGCAGAAGTTAATAGAAATGTTTTTTGATCGTCGAATAAACTGAAGTTTGGGAAACTTGATGATATTATTTACAATTTTAAAAGACATTGTATATTTTATTAAAGATAGTTCCCTTTAAGTGTTACGAAATATAATATTATTTCGAGAAACTAAAAAAATTTAATGCTTCATAGGGAAACTTCAACATAAATATAAATAACGAAATGTGAATGGAGCAAAGATTGATGGTTGTGTTTATTTTTGCATTTTGATTATTGATTACAACTGCACGTTCGTCAAGTTAAATTTTTACATCTTAAAGCACTTAAACAGTGAAACAGTACTTTAAAAACCTTTGCCACCAGAAGTTAAAAACTTGCCTAGTGCCCTCTTTGAGTTCTCTCAGTTTAATCGGTGTAAATTCTCCAGCCATATCCAATCTCCACTACACTACCGGTGTGTATCAGAAACATCAATTTGTCGTGTACGCTGTTATAGTCCATTCCACCTTAAGTTGGCACTGGAGAGAAAGGTAGGAAATGTAATACTCCGCCTTTGAAAAGTAGTTCTTCGCTATTTTGGAATTAATTGCAGTTTAAATGCGCGTACAAATATAAATAAATGTTGCATAGTAAGAAAAGTATGTCTTGAAACATTCATTAGAAGTTTTTCATGTTTAAATGTATTTAACTTATAAATACCTTCTCAGTAAAGCGAATGTACAAAGAAGAAGGAGGTGTTTTAGTTTGGCGCTGAATTAGTTTTCAAGGACAAGGAATTGGCTCATTGGCTATGTTTCTACACTGGTCAGTCAGCTTTTCCATTCGCCTTGGCTTTGCTTAAGTGTCCTATCTCTTGTGCAGTTCTTATTTCGTTTTTTTTTTTTTTTTTTTTTATTTTATTTGATGATTTAATTTTCTAAATATTAACCTCATCTGTACAATATTTAATGAAAAATTTTTTCCCCTCAGAATAAATGAAAAAAAAAACATCCCAATAGACAGGTGAATATTATTAAACTGATGACAGTTGAGCATATTTGCTGTGTAGCTAATTCAACATGTGATTTTATTATTATTTTTTTACGACAAAAGAAAAAATTGTTTTCGCTTTATTCGATCTCTGTAAAGATTCAAATTTTGCGTCTTTTGCGCCATGTTTAGTTCTGAAGTACAATTCGCTTTTTATAGGAACTTAAATAATGTAAAAATTTAAGATTTTTAGTTTGTTCAATTAAAGGGACTTTTAAATATTATCTGAAATACAATTTCCATAATAGAAGTGTTAATCCGTTAGTTATAAACTAATAAAATGTATAGGAATTGAAATAATTTCAAAAAAGACGCAAAATTTGAATCATTAATTTTTTTTAAACATCGAAAGGTTAATTTAAACCAATCAATATTTTAATAATTATTTTTGAAATACAAAGCCCAAAAAGCTGAGAAATCCTTTCTCTTATGTAGAAAATATTAAGATATTTCAGTATCTGACAAAATATTTCGAGACTAACTAATTCTACTGTACTTAAATAACAAATTATACGGATTTTTCTCTTAAGCCTCCTTTCACCTGCAAAGGTCCTGAAAAGTAAAGGAAAGTTCTGATATTTCAAAATATGTATTTTCTTTTGAAGAAATGCGCCTACCCATCCAAGTAGAATTTCGCCTGATGAGAAATTGTGGATTGAATTCAATTCAGGGCTACCCCACAAAGAGTTTGCAGAAGGAACTGTCAACTGTTAAAATATTAAATGAATAACATGATAACCACCAGGATAGGTGGTTATCATGTTATTCAAAGAGTTCCTGTTGAGTCTAAGAGGGTGGGATATGGCAGCTGAAAACATGGGGGGGGGGCGAACAAACAGTACGCCCCCCCCCATATGGATAATACTAATTATTTTTTTCAGGTAAGTTCTTTTGTCTCTTAGAAGCAAATATATTTCAGAAAAAAAAATTTTTTAGTAAAAAAATTAAAAAAAACTCTTTTGAAAAAAATTTTTTATTTATAAAAAAAAAGAACAGTAAATATTAAAAAAACATAGGTATGATATTTTTCATGATCAATGATTTCCTGCCTATGTTGACTTTTTCTTCCCCAACAAAACACCAATGAGGGATAAATTAATGTACATTAATCTACAAAAAATAAGCATATAAAAATAAATATTTAAAACAAAGTATTTATGCGCATCTATGCATTTCGTTTTTTTTTTCTTAGATTTCAGCAAAAAAGAATCTTTTTAAATATATTTTTTTTTATTTAAAATTAGTTTCGTTTAATTAAAAAATAATAATAAGAAAAAAAACAGTAAGTATTATAAAACATAAGTATGATCTTTTTCATTATCAATAATTTCCAGCCTATGCTGACTTTTCCTTCCCCAACAAATCACCGATGTGGGATAAATTAATGTACATTAATCTACAAAAAATAAGAATAAGAATATAAAAATAAATATTTAAAACAAAGTATTTTTGCGCATCTATGCATTTCTTTTTTTTTTTTTTTTTACTTAGATTTCAGCAAAAAAGAATATTTTTAAATATATATATTTTTTTCTGTTTAAAATTAGTTTCGTTTAGTTAAAAAATCATAATAAGAAAATCTGCTTTTTAAATACTAATTAAGAAATCAGCTTACAACTAGTATCTTAAAATAATAATTATGAGAAATGCTCTAAAAAATCGTGCTCTTTTCCGTATTCTGTACAAAATTTTAGTACGATTCTTGGTTTTAAAAAAAAAAAAATCGGCGTTTTGCTTTCTTAAACGCCAATACTGGCCACTTTCTCTCCCTTTGTTGCTACCTCATCCCCGTACTGACTTAAAGAGTAACCCAGTTTCCATGTAATCCGGTCTACCTACCTTTCTCTCCAGTGCCAACTTAAGGTGGAATGGACTATAGTGACTGTTTAAGTTTGTTTTTACCTGGTATTTATTTTTATTTATAGAAAATGGATTTCCCTTCTGCAAAAAACGAATTTTTCAGTTTAATTAACTCTTTAAATAACGATGATCGTTCAGAATTTCTCTCATGGTGTAAAGATTGGTGTTCCTCTGGTAATTTACTACCTTTAACTTACTACAAAACATGTGTATACCTTCTTTTTTTTTGTTTGTAATAAAAGCTTTTTTCTCGCTCGTCATTTTAATAATTATTTGGTTCAATTAAATTTAGATTCTTCGATTTAAAAACGTTTTATTCTTGTATTGAAAAAGATTGACTGCATTAAGTTTTTTTTTCTTACACCTTTCTTCCAATAGTGATTCATATTTCATTATTACTAGCTTATTTCTCTTTATTTTAAAGTTTTCTGCAAATGAGCTTGAAAAGAAAAATATAATTTGATCCAAATGATTTGCTTCCAAATGATAATTTGTTTTATATCTTTTTAATGTTTTCTCTAGATTCTGAATACAGCAAAAAGTACTTCGATCTGCGAACAATTGCTGAAGATATCAAGACTTTAGTACCAACTGAAGCTATATTTCCTTCTGAGCTGATAAATCATAATAACTTGCTGACTGTGAGTCATTTTGCCATAACTATTATTTTTTATTAACTAGGATAATAATTGCAACACATTTTAGCACATTACCTCAGTCAAACATAATACATGTATGTTTTGTCTTAAAAGAAGACTTTTGTGTATGATCCTGTTCCAAAATGATCACCAAGTTGCATGCAAGAAACTGACAAAACTATGGAGCAAACTAGAAGGGTAAAATTTGTTGACTCCTTTGGGGAAACCACTATGTACGCAGTACAACGTCACATATCCAAGAATTTGTTTAATAGGAACGTCTATCTTACAGACACTTTTTAATCATTACAATAGACATATCTTTTCTCCCTAAAAATGTCTAGTTTTTTTTCTTTTACTCATGATCTGTTACCAAATCTTATGTGTCTAAAGAAAAAGTGGTATATTTTTTAACTTCCCTTTATATGCCTATGTTCACAGTTGCCAGGATAGGACGTCGCTGTGATCTCCCAAAGATTTTCATTGTGCAGCAAAATTTGTCCGGCCATTCAGCAGATTTACGAAACTCGAATTTTTAGTAAAACAAATAGCAGTAAAACTGTATTTTTATCAGTTTAATTTTATCAGGGGTTGGCATGTTTCCATCCTCATTCAGTGATATATATATATATATATATTAGATAAGATGTATGTAGGAGGTTACTATATATGTATACAATGAGTGTGTGTATATATATATATATATATATATTGATCACAAAATCTAATATTTGGCTTTACAAATTTAAAAAAATCAAAGTTTTCTGATGTAAAAATTTCATAGTATAGATAAAACATGGCCAGGATTTTTATTGAAATTTGCCTGATATACCTTTAAAAGACAGGGAATTTTTTTCTGAAATTGAATGGGAACCCTGTATTATCTTAGCCTTGAATGTGATGTTTAATTTATGTATTATCACTAAAATATTTCATCCATTTTTTTGCAACATAATATGGGTGTATACTTCAGGCAGATTATGCATTAATTTGGATTAAAGGAGGATTATTCTTTTTCAATTCCGAAAAATAAAAAAGACTAGTTATACCTACTTTTAAAATTCTTTCTAATAATTCATTAAGTGAAAAAAAGAGTTTCTCATAATTATGGCACTCTTTATATTTAGGAATCTGTTCTAGAACTACTTATATGATACATGTTGATAGTTTTCTCTTTGAGGATGAACATATTAATTCATTAGTTGAAGAAGGAAAACTGAGTCGGAATTACTGCAAAGATTGTGGATCATCAAATGTTTCCCCTATAAGTAAGTTAAAAAATAATAAGTTTGTTATTTACCTTTTATCTTGTTTTTATTTCTAGTTGCAAAAGACTAGTTTTTGGTACATTTAGCTTTATTAACTTTTATAATTATAAGATATTCAACTGCTAAGTCTTCCATAATTAAGTAATTTTAAACTTATCGTTTTCTTGAAAGATTAATCTCTCACATGTTGTGTAATTTACTCATTTTATTTTAATGTCTCATTAAAGCACTCAACACACTGCTTTGATAACATTCTATCGAACCCTTCTCTTTTCAAATTTAGTGGTGGGACTAGAACAGTAGTGATTGATATTTTTTTAATTGTTGAATAGGTATGAACGGAGGAATAATTCAAAAATCAATAAACAGATTTAACTTTCATTCAAATTAATTTAAAATTTTTTAATTAAAATTAAGTCTTGTGTGTTTAATACAATGCCAAAAGAAAAAAAATAGAAACTCAGCAAAACATATGAATAAATTCAAATGAAATTAAAAATTGGAACTAGGTGTAAATACACCTCATCTCTAGTGTAGGAGTGCTTCTTGGTCCTCTGTGACCTTTCTACTCTTAACAAGGTACACTGGGTGCCTGGACATATGGATATTCCTGATAATGAGCTAGCTAATGAATTAGCACATGCTAGCTCCAGTGCAATTTTCTGGGACCTGAATCAGCTTTGGGGATTTCTCCCACATCCTTCAGGACATCTGTTTTCAAAATTTATGGCAATATTGTCCATGAGCAATGGCGCAACTCAGATGGTCAGAGACAAGCTGAAGAGTTAAATCGTGACTGCCCTGGTGTGTGTCAAAAAGAACTTCTTAAGCTTAACAGGAACAGCTTGGGAAGATCATTGGACTTCTCACTGGACACTGCACCCTCTGGAGACACCTATACATTATGGATATTGCGTGTGATCCTCTTTGTCGAGGATGTCTCTTCTAGAGGAGGAGACTTCACGATATATACTTTGATTGTGAGGTCTATTCTGCTAAAATATTTGAGCATCTGCGGCAACATTGCATTAAGGCCTGGGAATTACCGAATATTCCTGTCAGATGTTTGCTGAACTGTATTTCAGCTATAAAGCTTTTCCGCTAGTCATGATCTAGGGTTTGGGTACAATAGACCTCTGGTCAATGTGCCTCTCTCCTCGAAGCTACCCAACTACTAAGTCTATCTATCTAAGAATTAGAATGGATAGTTAAAAAAGTACACATGCCTGTCACACACTAGGCTAAAGCACTAATTTCATAAATATATACTATATTCTAAAAGAGAAACTATTTAATCATCAGACTAATACATATTTTCTAATAAGACTTACATTTCAAAACAAGTTAAGAATAAAATTTACCCATTTGTTCAAAACATTAAATAATAACAAAAAAAGTAAATAAATAATCCCAAGAAGCTGAAGAGTTAAGATATTACTTTATTAAAAACTTCATTCATTAAAAAAAATATACAGATTGAAAATAATAGTCCAGTGGTGCGCAAACTTTTTTCGACTGCGACCCCTTTAGTAGAGAGAAAATTTTTGGCGACCCCTAGAGATAAATGTTCACAAATAAGATGTATATTTCGAGCATTTCTTTCGTTTCATCGAATAAAAACATCATCATATTTGGCTCATATTAATTTTATTTATAATTTTAAGAAAATACTTTTTGTATAACACAAAAATCAGTAAATTGCCCTTTAATGAGATGTATGTGGCTGCAAGTTTCTAATTATCTCATCGATGTTTGGATGTATGTTGCTAATTGCAATTCGCATATCATCTTCAGGTTTTAAACGCGAGCGGTATTTAGTTTTTATTGAAACTAGTTTGCTAAATCCAGTTTCACATAAATACGTTGATGCAAATTGTATTAACACTCTGATGGCATTCTTGCATAAAACGGGATATTGTTTTTCCACGGATAGCCAAAATTTTTGGCAAGGCTGAGTCTTAAATTGATTTCGAAGAGTATAATCACTAATTAGATCTATCAATTGCTCTTTCTCACTAATTTGAAGAGTTGAACTGCATATGTCAAAGGAAAATGGATCACGAATCCAACCAAGATCGTTTTCAGGAAAATCCTCGAATCTTCTCGAAAATTTTTTCTTTAACTTTTCAATGTGATTGGAAATGATGTTTTTAAATGTAAATATATCTATATTATTTTCCTTGATAAAATCGTTAAAGCAAGGGAACATGTTGGTGTTGTTTTTATTCAGTTCAGTTTGCCAGAGACTAAACTTATTCTTAAAAGCTTGAATTTTACTGGCTGTAGTTATGATAGTTGAATTCTCACTCTGCAAGCTCAAATTTAAGTCGTTAAGTTTTTCGAAAATATCAACTAAATAGCTCAGCTTCCCTAGCCAAACTTCATTGATATAATAACTTGCCAATCTATGTTTCTTTTCGATTAAGAACATGTACACTTCATTTCTCAAATCAAATATCCGTCGTAGTATTTTCCCACGTGAAAGCCATCTGACTTCGGTGTGTAACAGTAAATCTCTCATACGTTGAGCCCATCTCATTGCAAAGTATTGAAAAGAGACGACTGTTGTGGCTGTTGCATTTAATGTAGTTGATTGAACTAACAGCGTCTTGTAATACGTTGTGCAACTCTTCATCCATATCTTTTGCAACAAGAGCTTGCCGATGAATCATACAGTGATTAAATACCATATGAGGCGCCACCTTCTGAATTAAGCCTCTGAGCCCCTTATTCGAACCTGTTAATGCTGCAGCACCATCAGAAAGAGTGGACAGCATGAAATTGCAATTAAACGGGGAGTGACGGCGCTTCACTCTTTATATGTACACTGTATGGTATGCAGCATGCAGGGATAATGCATTTCATAAAAATTTGGCGACCCCCAAAAACTATAAGGATTCATAAAAGTATTTTTTCGTATCCTCAATGTTAACCTTTAATTATTACCTACATAATAATTAAGCTTGCATTAAAATTATTTTCAGAAAAGCAATATCTTTTAAGTAAAGAGTAACATAACGTGGAATTATGGCATAGAATTATGTAATGGAATTAATTATTTGAGATGCATTGTATTTGAACTATCCTGTGTAGATGCTCACATAATTATTTCTATACTTAATGTAGGAATCTCGTGCGGGGGAGTAAGAGATTTGTCTGGATTTTGAAAAATGTGGTTGTATTACAGAATGTTATTTGAGAAGCAAAGTTGACATGATTTAAATCATTAATCATTGATGATTTTGAATTATTGATTTTTTTTTAAATTATCATAGGAGTTAAATATTTATAAGGTTTTAATTTTCTTTTTTACTTCTTATTACATTGGTAATGAAGGTTTTAACCAAAGATGAGCAGAGGAATGTAAGTGAAAATTATTAATTGATCTTCAAAATAGTAGTAAGATATCCAACTGAATTAGTTATTTTTTTATATGCTGGCAGACAAAAAATTTGAAATAAACTCAAGAAAACAAAACCAAATTAATAATTTTTTGAAGAACGTTGATTGATAGAAAATATCTTAACGCTAACTCAGTGCAAAAAATAAGAGTTAGTTATAGAATTATTTTCAACGTAGATTTTATTTAATGTTAGCAATGTTTTGAACTAAAAACAAAGGTCTGAACTTGAATTTGTTATTTTTATCAAGTTTTAAGTAAGAATATTTAGAATTTTTGTTTAAAATTTTGATATTAAATTATGTATTTAATTGTTGATTTTTTTTTAAGATTTT